CTTCAACAACAGAACGTGTCTATATCTCCTAAATCATCCTTTCTTTAGAATTAAACAACCAAGTCATAGGACTTTGAGGTTGTCCGCCTAATACGACATAAATCCTCAACCTTATCTTTAGGCCTTTGTATGACTCTGATATACAATATAAGCCCTAGCTCGTCTTAGGGTTCGGAGGTTGTCGATCGTCACGATTTAAATCCCCATATCTTTTAGGCTATTCGCGTGATTGTTTCATACGAATGTAAGCCCTAACTAATAAAATTTGTAGGGTGAAACATTTAAATAATTTATCTCCAAAACTGAAGTCAAACCAATGGTTCTCCTCCGTATCTATGACATTCGCTAGTCTCTCTTTCTTTGGATTCCATAATATGTTATAAATTTCAGCCACTTCTTTTTCACACCTCTTTTTACCAACTCTTTGAAAAGTTCCAATCCTTTGACCTCTTTAAAAATAATATCCCCCTAATTTTTATTGAGATTTTTCCTAGGTGACTTCGGTTATCTAAGATGTAATTTACTATAAGGGCTTCCTTTTATAGGAAACTTTTCCGAACCCAGCTTAATATAAACCCGGCTTAATTTTTCATATTAAATAGGGGAACTTGTCAGCTTATAAATAAAATGATTTTCACAGACTAAACGGATGTCATATGTTTTTTAATTTATTTGATCGAGCCTCACAGTCAAGTCTAGTATATATATTTATATAATTAAATGTCTTTCTGAAGCGGGTGACGAGATTTCGATTCTGGCGGCCGACAGCTTCCAATGGGCAACTCCTTAACTAAAATTGTGCCAATCATCACAGTTTGGCTGAATTTTTTAAGAGGTGTTTGAAGGAACTCTTTGTAAAAATGTGGGAAATAGTTCATGACACGAAAATTCATTCAATTGGCTTTTGAAAGGAGGAAACTTCTAGAAGATTTATTGAATGGAGATGCATTTTGAAAATACACTAAGGCGCCCCTTAGATTTTTATTTAAAAAAACTTGAATCGTCAAAGGAAGAGATCAGTCAATCGCTAAAGGCTCGCTATAGGCCAGCCAACAGCCAATCATCCATCCATTCCAAGTAACCACCGCCGAACACCTTTTCTTTTTATGTTGAGTTTTATTTTGTATTGTGAGTGAAGGAAGAGATATCAATGAAACTTCAGGACATTTGGTGGAGAGGATTTGAGATAAGTTTTTATCTTTGTGACTGCAGTTGGTTTTATTTAGACTTCTTTTTTAATGCATGATTTTTACTTTTAAACTCAAGTGTGGTTGTGTTTTCTTCATGGATTCCGAGTAGTTTTCTTTATTATTTTCCTTAAAATGATAAGTGATTAGATATTGAAAGGAAGTTTTGTGCAGTAATAGACTTTAATGTTGGACGAAGTTGTGATGATTTTAAACAACTTCATTTACTTCTTGATTTGACCAATTAAGATGTTAATACCTATTGTGAGAACATATAAGATCTGAGATGGTATTGCCTCAGTTAATAAATGGTTAGAATCACATATTGATTTCCTGGATGAGAATGTAGTTCATGGGGTTGAGTGCAAATAACTTGGGAAATAAACTTTTCAAGGGTGTAGAATTAGAGGACTTTAGAGTGACAGGCTAAAGCCCCTAATTTAATTTATAGTTTTAGGTTCTGATACGAGAGGTTAGCCCCCAGGTGGAGAAAGAAGAGGAAACTCTAAAGTGAGAGCTAGTATCTTCCTTACATAACCACTCTTAAAAACTATTCAAAATATAGATTAGCCAATGTTATTTAAAGTATCTCTAGTAAGAGTAAAAAATATTATTGCTATTATTTGACACAACACAATTAGAACATTTTCACAACAAAATTTCTATAATTGTTATTGATTTATGATAAGGAAAAAGATATTTTATTTATATCGCCTTCATCTTGCAAGTATTTAGTTAAGTTAATTAGTTGCTTACTTTATTTTCAATCATCAAATATTTACAAAAAAGAATCAAATTTTCATTCCTATTATAACATCTAGAGCTTAAAGTCAGAATATTTTGCTAAGTAAAACTTTATTATCTAATTTTTCGTTTTTTGTAAGTTGCATACATTATTTATCCCCGTGGGTTCGATATTCGGGGCTTAATACAATAGTCCTATATTACTTAATAACGATAAGTATACTTGCTTAATATCCCATAATTAAATATTATAACTTGATTCTTATTTTCTTTATAATGAAAAATTTACGTAGTTTTTGTTTATGATCAAATTTTTGGCTTTGTTGCAAAGTAAGAATCATTATTAAAGATATTAAACATATAATTGCATACATCACATTTAACATCTATATAGAACGTCGGGATCAGAGCTTAAGATAGGATTAGGTTAAGAGTTTTAATGCATATTAGTATTCCTTAGAAATTTTAGGATATTATAAAAAGATTTTACTAGTTCTCTAGAATTGTTTTTGTGGAGCTTTTAGCTTTTGGAATTGAAGTAAGGATTAGGGGGTATGTTTAGGTAAATTTTATAAACATTAGATATTTAGTGATTAACATGTGATAGAGTGGAGAAATTGAAAGAGAGACTTAAGATTAACAAGAGAAAAGTGGATGATGGGAAAATATTAAAAATAAAATGAAAAAGCAAAAATAATAATGTTAGATAATTGCTCACCAAAGTAGCTACTCCAAGCCATAAAGCTAGGAGCAAATATTTTATCATCAAATAAACATCCAAATTATTAAAATATTTTTGTTTTTCAAATTGATTTCAATTATTTAAAATATATTTTATTTCAATATTTTTGATATAAACAGAAATTATAAGCATTGAATAATACAAAACATCTCACATATATTAAAAGGTGGCTAGCCTCCTTGCTTATTATGCATGAACACTAGCTCAAAGCTTTATACATTCAATTTTGGCTTTGTTTTTTCTTACATTCTTACACGACAACTAACATTCATTGATTATAGATGAAAAGTAAAAGTCATAAAAATGAAAATTTACATTGATAATTTTAAAAATGTAATTTATCTTGACATTAAACATATAATTAGTCAATGTTATGCTAAAAAGTATAACCAAAATTTTTTAAGAATTTGGTGCTCCTAATATTTACCCTAAACAACACATAAAGTTAAGTATATGTAAGAAAAAAAAAACAATCTTTCCTTTATAAACTTATTTTATACTTTTGTCATAAGAAGGAAATAAAATCTAAATGACTAATTAGGTTTAATTTGAAGTTGTTTCTTCTTATATGAACCTTTTTGTAAAATCTGCTAATAAGAAAACTTCTTGGCTCTTTGCACCCCCTACTTCGTTTATCACTAAACTGTCTTTTAAGCAATGTATTTGCTTTGATTTTAAACAATGAAAGTTATATATATATATATATACAAATGAATTTACATTGATATAAGTGTTACATTTGTCAATGTAAATTCAATGATTTTGAGACTTATTTCGACAAATGTTCAGGTATAATAACTTGATATAATTAATACATTTTAAAATTTAAAAATAATCAATTAATTTAATGAGAGGATTTTTACATGCACAGAAAAGACAAAGCATACATAAACAAATAAAACTAGAGCGCCATATTTAAAATAAAATTACTGATTCAAAGCTTAGCATGACATCAAAAAAATCACTTGAATGAGAGGATTTTTACATGCACAGAAAAGACAAAGCTTAGCATGACATCAAAAAAATCACTTGATTAGGCATGAACCTCGGTGTGTATAGGATGAGGTAACTTCTAATGTCAGATTCAAGATTATCCCAACAAATTTATGGTTGAATAGAATGCAATTATAAAGTGAATCCAATAACAACCCAAGTGATCCAATTCAAATCTAAATATTCTTAAATCAAACATCTAAAATATGATTGAAATTTTTGAGTAATTATTTGAAGAACTGAGACATATCTAATTTTGACATGCTTAATGTCAAACTGAGTTTTTTGATGAGAGAAATCCAACAAATCCCGTATCGCTGAAATCTAAAGACATTAGGATCCTTAAATGCTTAAAAGTTTGATCTGTACTTGGTGTTATGTGATAGATTGTTTTGGGATATTGAGTAAATTTGTCAAAGTATTACCTCTAAAAATTATTTAAGAAAACTTCTTTCAACTAGTAATTGTTGTGTGTTATCACTCGTTTCTCTTCAACCCTCTTACTTCCACTACAGTCGCTAAAGATTGAGAGACTATTTTGGGTAGATGCGGCTATTTGAATTAGCAGCTATGAAGCTGCTGTAGAAAATACTGTTATTCAAGAGGTTATGGTGGGTATTAAAAAATATTTATTTGTTTTAAAAAAGTCAGACCGTAACTTTTTTACAACCACAACACTTAGTCGGGTCACATTCAATTGCAGTTTGTTGAAAAAACAGACAAGATACAAATTTATCAAATGCCACAAAGTGAGGTATGACACTGCATCGCCACAACACCGCTACCGCAAACTCACCCCAAGCTTATGTTGAACGGATTAATTTATAAATCACATGTTTTCCATTAGCAAAGTGCTATTTGTGATAATTGTCGATATAATGGATTATCTTAACAGGACTAATCACCATAATTTTTTCCCATTACAAATCTTTTACTTAAAAGTTTCAGCATCTCATATGTCATTTTTATTTCTTTATTTGCGTGTGAGATTTTCATGAGAAATTAGAACATAACTCTTGTTCTATTATCTCAAATTTTTTTCGAGAAATATGAGCCCAAAGTGAAGTATGCATAATTCGCACTCACAACTTTATCGTAGAAGACTACATCCTCAACCATTATGCAACAACCAAGCGCACTTATCACAAATTTTCCTAATTCAAGATATCTTAAAAAGCAAATTTTACTCCAACAATAATTAAAATTAATTAATATTTTTAAAATTTTAAAACAAAGTTATATAATAATTACTATAATGACCTTCCCACCAATTTCTCTTATAAATAAACCCCTCCATCATACCACCAATAATACTCCCTAAAACATCCTAAAAAACCAAATCTCAATCTCTTCTTCCAAACATGCTCCTCCTCCTCCTCTCCCTCCTCTCCACCACCGACCTTTCCTCTGCTACAATCCACTACCCATCCTACCCCTGCAAGCCCCCTCACTTCAACTCCTTCCCCTTCTGCAACACCACCTTGCCTCCCTCCCTTCGCGCCAAATCGCTAATCTCCCACCTCACCCTCCATGAAAAAATACAGCAGCTCGTCAACACTGCCGCCGGAGTACCTCGCCTCGGCCTTCCTCCGTACGAGTGGTGGTCGGAATCCCTTCATGGGATTAACGACAATGGCCCCGGTGTTCACTTCGACGGAACCATTCATGCTTCCACCGTTTTCCCGCAAGTAATCCTCTCCGCCGCTTCCGTTAACCGCACTCTCTGGAGAGCCATCGCTCGCGCCGTCGCGGTTGAGGGCCGCGCTATGCATAATTCCGGCCAAGCAGGTCCTGCTATACTACTAACTTCCTTGTTTCTTTTGAAATAATTTGTGTAGATTGCATGCATAGCACCCAATTCTTAGAAAATTTTACATCGATGTCCAAACAACAGCCTAGATGTAGCAGCGAGGAGGGCAGAGGTCAGATTCCTCCCTTCCTCCACTGCATTCGGGCCGTTGGCCGGACATCCAAACTCCCAATGTGATTTTTTGTTCTTATCTAACATCAAAATTTTTATATTTATAAGTAATATATAAAATATAATATTTATTATTAATTTTTAATAATCAAATTGATCTTTTTATTTATAGATAAAATGTTATATGAGAAAAATTAAAATTTAAGGTGCGAGTTATTTAAATTCATAAAAATTAAGAATTATGTGCTGCCTACATAATTTTTCCTATAAATAAATAAAAAATGTTATTAAATAATTAAAAAAAAAAAAAAACTAAAGTCTCAACTACACTTCATCCACGGCGTTCCTTCTAATTTTCCTATAAATAAATAAAAAATGTTATTAAATAATTAAAAAAAAAAAAAAAAAACTAAAGTCTCAACTACACACTTCATCCACGGCGTTCCTTCTTTTATTTAATTTAATTATTTATAGACGTCAATGAAAACTTTTCGCGTCTAATTTTTTCCTTCTAATTTTCTTACTTTTATCAAATTTACTTCTTGTTCATAAATAAAGGAGCCGTTTAAAATGCCTTAAGAGATAAATAAAATATTTTTAGGACATGAAAAATAAAGAAAAAAAGATAATGTTTGTAATACTTTAGAAAAAAATAAAGAAAAAAAAAAATGAAATATTTAAATGAAATGTATATCTCAAAACTAGTATACACCTGATTTAGAGAAGTTATCTTGGAAAATATGACATAAGAATAGATAATAATTAGGGCTGTCAGAACGGCTCGTTGTCGGCTCGTTTGCTAAGTTAACGAGCTGAACACGAACAACGCGAACAAATATTTATTTATTCGTATTCGGCTTGTTTTGGCTCGAAATACTACTAACCAATTATATATTTATCTTTGATGAGTAGTATTTTTAAAAAAAAATTAATTGACTACAAGACTACAAAGATTTATAATCAATTAAAAGTATTAATGAAGAAAATCAAATAAAAATTATTAAATTAGATTCAAGTGATGTTTTAAAGATTGCCCCAATCCTTAATATCTTATGACTACGTGATTAGGGTTGTCAAAACGACTCTTTGTTTGGGAACGGCTCGTGTTCGGTTCGCTAAGCAAACGAGCTGAACACGAACACACTTTTTGATCTCGAAATATAAACGAACCGAACACGAGCTGAGCCTAGGCTCGAAATCAAATAAAAATTATTAAATTAGATTCAAGTGATGTTTTAAAGATACACCAATCTTTAACATCTTATGGCTACGTGATTAGGGTTGTCAAACGACTCTTTATTCGTGAACGAGTTGTATTCAACTAGCTAAAAAAACGAGCATAACACGAACACACTTTTTAAGCTCAAAATATAAACTAGCCGAACACGAGCTGAGCCTAGGCTCGCTCCTGTTCGTCTCGTTTAAGTCCCTAATAATAATAATTATTATTATTATTAATAAGTATAAAGCATATTTCTTCTTCATGAGTCTCTTTGGTCAAAATTTGTCTTGGATGGGACTTAATTAAGCATCAGAAATAGACAAAATTATTCCTATCATTATTTGTAACTATAAGACAAGCATTACGATAACATTTTCTTATAATACTATGTGGATTTATATGCAACTGTTTGTGGATTTCCAAAGATAGCCGGAAACTCTTTATTTTTTCATATATCAAATATTTATAATTCTAGATCTACTTATTTAATAATATATTCCAATAGTCGGCAATTTAAACTTTTAACTTATTTAAGAAATCATGAAATAATTTTTGAAGAGTATTCCTATTAAGTTTATTTAGGAATTTATTATTTTTTAAAATGTTTATAAATTATTTTTGAATTTTTTTTTTTTTACAAATTTATAATTTTTTATGATAATTATAAGGGATGCAAAAGTGAATTTTATATCATACTTATTTTAAAAAATAAAATAAATAAATAAAATATAATTGTTGCTTAAAAATATATTTCTTTTTTTTGTGTTTGTTTAATTATATATTTATTGTCACTATTTATAATAAAAAGTTTTTTTTTTTTACAGATTTTTATGTTTTAAATTAAAATATAAAAATTGTATAAAGCTTTAAAAATTAAAATTTTTGGAAAAAATATTTAAGACATGACTAAATTTTTCTGCAGCAAATTGTTAAAAAAAATTAAATTAATTCATAGCAAAAGTAAAATATTTTCAGAAAATTATTAAATTATGCATTTTGCTTTGATAAAATTTTAATGAGAATTATAATATCCCTAAAAGTAAGAAACAAAAAAAAATCTATAAAGGTTTGTCCCTTAAAAAATATTTTTATTTTAGATAAATTAATTAATAATACTTTTTCTCGAAATTTAAAGATTTGCATGGTTTAGAAATAAATCTAAGGATTTAATTAATAGATGTGCAAAGATATAAAATATTATTTACTTTAGATAAAGTAATATTAAAATAATATCATATTAAAACACATAAAAAAAATATTATTTTTATTGATCTATTAAAAGTAAAATAAACAGTTTTAGTGTTAGATATGTAAATACATAGAAATTAAGTGGTATGTATATAAATATTTCTATTTTTAACATTACTTAAATATAAAAAAGGCTATATTATGAATGAATATAAAGATCTAACCTTAGAAATATAAATACATACATTTTATTTTATACAAAATATATAAAAATTACTCGATTTTTTTATAAATGTATGAATCTGTTTGGCTGATTTAGCAGGGCTGACCTTTTGGGCGCCCAACATAAACATCTTCCGGGATCCAAGATGGGGGCGGGGGCAAGAGACGCCTGGAGAGGATCCGCTCGTCAGCTCCCATTACGCCATTGCTTATGTCTCCGCATTCCAGTCTGGAACCGATTCCCTGTTCCTTTCTGCTTGCTGTAAGCACTATACGGCTTACGATTTGGAGAAATGGATGGGATTTAAGAGGTATACTTTTGATGCCAATGTTACAGAGCAGGACATGAAGGATACGTTTCAGCCGCCGTTCAGGAGCTGTGTTGAGGAAGGTAAAGCCAGTTGTTTGATGTGTTCGTATAATCGAGTTAATGGCGTGCCGGCTTGCGCGCGCAAGGATTTGATTGATGAGGCTAGGGAAGATTGGGGATTCAAAGGGTGCGTTTTTCTAACTTTTTTGTCTTTTTTTTTTTGGTATGTTGCGCGCAAGGTGTTTGTTTGATTGTCTCAATGAGGAGGTTTTTGTTAATTTTATTTATTAGATATGTGACCTCAGACTGCGATGTTTTTTTTTTTGGTATGTTGCGCGCAAGGTGTTTGCTTGATTGTGTCAATCAGGAGGTTTTTGTTATTTTTATTTATTAGATATGTGACCTCAGACTGCGATGCGGTATCTATAATTTATGAGGAGCAGAAGTATGCTTCGTCTCCGGAAGATGCAGTTGCTGCTGTTCTGAAAGCTGGTAAAAGATTTTTGGTGCATTGCTCTGTTTTATGGTTGAGTTTGTTTTTTTTAATGTACGTGTGGAAGTTTTTTTAACCCTGTTTAAGAATTAAATTTCTTTAATTATCCTATGGGAATTTTTTATTTAAATTTATATTTTTTAGTATGAAAAATGAGTCCATGAATGATGTTTTTTAAGTGAAAAAGTCTGCGGCTTATTGGTTGGAGAAGGTTCTCTCTTCAAGGTTATGAATTATCATTAAAAGAAAGTAATTTTATGAGGAGGGTAATATACTTCAGAAATGTTATTTTTCCCCTGTGAATATTTAAAATTAAGAACAAAGTAGTAAATTCTAAGTATTTTGTTGTTAAGGATTGGATCGATTGCTTTAGCCAAACGAGCATTAACCGTTTGAAATTACAATATGCTTTCTTAATTTTTTTATAAATGAAAATTTTAGAAGAGTGGTGAGTTAGAATTTATTTCTATTCGCTATATTCGTCAGGAAATATATAAATGTGGGATGATGTTAAAGTTGGAAAACATTTCAGTTAAAAGATACCAAAATTAAATTCACAAAGATGAATTCATCTAAAGATAATTAAACATGAGAGAGTAAAACTAAACTTTATTTGTTGGATTTGTCTCTGAACTGGTTTTTACATCTATGACTAAGGGATGGATATCAATTGTGGCAATTACTTGCTAAATCACACTGCATCTGCTGTGAAGCTTGGGAAGGTGACCGAAGAGGACATCAACCGTGCTCTCACCAATCTCTTCATGGTTCAGCTTAGGCTCGGGCTTTATAATGGTGACCCAACGAGGCAGCCTAATGGGCTCCTAGGACCTAGAAATGTATGCACCAAAGAGCACAGAGAGATAGCTTTGGAAGCGGCAAGACAAGGTTTTGTTCTTCTGAAGAATGAAAATGGATTCCTTCCTCTTAAAAGGAACAAAGTCTCTTCGTTGGCCCTAATTGGACCTGCAGGAGACAAGACTAACATATTAGGTGGTGACTATAGTGGGGTTCCCTGTAATCCTGTAAGCATACTTCATGGCCTGAGGGATTATGTGCCAAGCACTTCTTATGCTTCAGGATGTCCCAACACCTCTTGCTTAGTTGATGATGATTTCCAGGAAGCTGTTCGAATTGCACAAATAGCTGATGTAGTGGTTGTAGTTGCTGGACTGAACCTTACTGAAGAAACTGAGGAACTTGATAGAGTGAGCTTACTGCTACCAGGGAAGCAGAAGGATCTGATAAATGCTGTTTCTTCTGTAAGCATGAAGCCAGTGATACTGGTGCTCATGGGAGGAGGGCCTATTGATGTTTCCTTTGCAAAAGATGATCCAAAGATTGCCAGCATTTTCTGGATAGGTTATCCTGGTGAAGTCGGTGGCCAGGTTCTTGCAGAGGCTATCTTTGGAGAATTCAACCCTGGTTAGTCCTACTTAATTTCTTCTATTCATTCTTATTGAGTTTCTAAACTATCAGCCATAACAAGCAGGGGCGGAACCAATTTTATCTTTTAGTGTGGGCAAATCACTAAATGCCAAATTTTATTTTAACTATGTGGGAGAAACATATATCTAGAGTTACTAACTTACCTAAATTACATTTAAAAAATAAATTAAATTTTACTACTTATATAGAGAAATATCAAATTCTAGTACGTAACGTGATTCTGGCTCTGATAGCAAGATTCTAATTTGATAATGGAATGGGTTGTGGGTTCCAGGTGGTTATTCAATGATGACATGGTACCCAGAATCCTTCACCGCTGTGCCTATGACTGATATGCGCATGAGGCCTGATCCTTCAAGCGGTTATCCCGGCCGAACCCATCGATTTTACACTGGAGAAACTGTTTATGACTTCGCTTCTGGCTTGAGCTACACCACTTATTCCTACAAATTCATATCAGCACCAAATGAGTTGCAGTTGCTTGGAAACTCTTATGCTGCTCAGAAGAAGATGGAATTAAGACATGAGACAGATGAAAACGTTCATTACCTGCACGTTGATGAGAATATAGCTTGTGAGGACTTTGAAGTTTGTTGTAAAGATTGCAGTAATGAACAATGGTGGTATGGATGGAAGCCATCCTGTACTGTTGTTTTCACGATTGGGGATGAAGATTAAAGGAGCGCCAATAAGGCAGTTGGTTGGATTTGACAGAGTGTTCAGTGCTGCTCATAAAACTGCTGAGGTTGATATATCAGTGGATGTTTGCAAGGATTTGAGCACAGTGGATGAGAGTGGAAAGAGGATATTGGTATTGGGCACTCACGTTCTGATGCTGAAAGATATAGAACATGAGTTGTTGATCAAGGCTTGAGGAAGTAGTATATGATTAATGATTTGCTTGTTGGTTTTTATTTGGTGATGAAAATAGTTTAGCGTTTTGAATGGGCATTTTTTTTGTCATGAAATTTCAGTCTTTGTGTACAACAAATAACATTAAAGTTGTTTTACTGGAAGATCAATACAGTTGGGAACAACAGCTTGATTTTTATCAACAAGAGTTGAATGCAAGGCATGAGATCCTGACAAAGTTATGACAAATGTTTATGAATTCATACATACAGATATATACAAAAGATATTGAAAATGTTTCTGAATACAATATTTATCTGTAAAAAAGTAATATTTAAACCTGATTTCCAAACAAAAAATAGGCAGCCAAAAATATAAAGCTAATTGCCCATAATATGAAAAAGAAGCTAGGAAGAATGCCACTATTTGAGCCACCACATCTACGCATGTAACATTCAAAGCTACCATATTTATAAATTTAAAATTGCAGTTTCCACCCGCAATTTTGCAGTGCTGAATATAATTATTGTAGCAACATGTAACTTGATTTTGCTAAAGCAGAATAATACTGACGTCGAAGTGAGGAACTATGCTGAACGGCGAGGTCTATCCAAGGCCCTATGCAAAATTAAATTTTTTTATTTACTGCTAATTTTTAAACTTATTATTTAATGGACTACTTTATGAAGTACTTTTTTCTTTGAAAATTTACCAAAAGCTACACAAAACTCATGAAACAATATGCCAAAGCCTCAAGCAATCAAGGAATAGTTTATATGAGAACAATTAAATTTAGAGGGTTTCACATACATATCCCACAATTTTTAGATATTTACATATTTAACACCTCAAATTTAATATTAAGGTATTTAATGCCTAAACTTTTAACATTAAAAAAAAAAGAGAAAAACACAGATATTAAATATTAAAATTTAAGTTTCACATAAACAAGTACCAAAAAAATTGTGCGGTATCTATTTAAGTCCTACTTATATTTACTAACTAAATGAAAATATGACACTAAATAGGACACAATGGAGAAAAATGATTCATATAGCCGACCACACGTAGTGGGATTAAGACTTTGTCGTTGTTGTTGCTGTTGTTGTTATTGCTGTTGTTGTTATATTTACTAACTAAAATTAAGTAATTTATTCATGAATATGGTTCAAAATTGCTAAATTTAGTACAACAAGAAAAAGGCTTTTATCCCACTAAGTTGGGTCGGCTATATGAATCCTTTTTATCCTTTGAGTCCTATTGAGTGTCAAATTTTCACCTAATTCTAATAAATTAAGATCATTTTTTATATAATAAGTCCAAGTTTTTCTAAGTTTTCCTCTTTTTTTTATCCATAGGTCGAATCTAAAATATCCACTATACTAACCGGATCATCAAATGGTCGACGTTTAATGTGACCAAACCATCTAAGACGACTCTCTCTAATTTCGATCGCCACTGAAGCTACACCAACCCTATCATGGATATATTCGTTTCACAGTCAAGCCACTCAACCACCTAAGCATTCTCATCTTGGCAATACTTAACTTTGTTTTGTGCTTCTCTTTTAAAAGGCCAACATTCTGCGCCATAGAGTATTGCAAATTTCACCACCATCTTATAGAATTTTCTTTTCAATCTAAGCGGTACTTTCCTATCACACAATAGGCCCAAAGCATTCTTCCACTTCAACAAAGCAACTTTAATTCTACTAATAACATCCGCATCTATATCACCATCACTTTGAACAATAGATTTGAGATATCTAATATGTTCACACCATTTAATGATTTGATCACCCATAGTTACAACTTTTCCACTTGAGCTACTACGATTAAAATTACATTCCATGTTTTCAGTTTTAATTCTACTCAAACGAAGGCTTTTAGATTCCAATGTAGACTTCCATAATTCATGTTTTTCCTGAAGTCATTCTTTATCCACAAGAAGGACATCATCAACGAAAAACATACACCAAGTTATATCCTTGTGTAAATGTTCACTAAGAGCATCCATAACTGAAGCAAAAGGATATGGGTTTAAAGCTGATCCCTGATGTAATCCAATAGAAACAAGAAACTTGCCAAATTTGGCAATTAAGAACAAATAATTTTAGAGAAATTTTATTTTAAAATATAATGTTTAAATAACTTTCTATTTTAAAATACATAATTATTATAAATAAAAAATTAAGAAAAACAAAAATTGAGGGAAACTTACAAAATGAGTGATTCAAACTCATTATTTCCGAAATAAAATTAACTAACAATTGTTTTGTCACGAATTATGTTTAAAATTTGTTGATTAGAATTCAATCTCATCCTTGGAACACATCTACCTCACAAATTTTGGTTAGATGTAGCAATAATAGCCATTTACCTAATCAATAGACTTCCATAAAAAAAGCTAAAATAAATCACCTTTTCAATTGTTATACGGGAAGCAACCTGATTCGATCATCTAAGAATATTTAAAATATTTTACTTTCATTTGCAAAAACCACAACCACAACTACAAACTAAATTGCATCCCAAAATTATACATGTGTTTGCATAGGATGCTCTACTATGCTCTTTGGTTACAGATGTTTCAACTTAAAAATTGGACAAATATATATACCTCAAGACATGTCGTATTTGATGAATCATAGTTTTCAAACAAACCATCCAAGCATTTATCAAATTTCATAGCAACCCCAACATACTAATCACTTCTACCACTCAAACCTAAACCAAAATATAGTTCATTTGTAACTCAAATACAACTCACTCAAATAACAAAACCAACTCACTCAATACAACCACCACCATAAGTCAACTTACCTATCAAGCCATCACCAACTTAACATACAATGCCAATTAACAATCTCACAAAATTAGCAACAACGCCCTAAACACACACCCAACTTCAACGCATAACAAAACACAAATCAACCCATTATTGCACATATGCACAACACACGCACACGCACACACTCACACACACACACCAATGATCACATGACAACCAAACTTCAAGCAAGGATCAACTAGCCTGAGAAGATCATGAATTTAAATCATCAAATACAACAAGCAAAAGAGCCCACCTGTTATTCTCAAGTAAAAAAATTTCTTAATCAAGAAATGTTAAGTCACAAGAATTCTATTCTCTTCAAATAAAAGTCAAATGAGAATTTATTATACCAAGTATAAATGGACTTTCAAAACAAAATATCGCTTATATGGTTTAACGGCTAAATACAAATCAAGGCTAGTTGGACAAAGATTCAATTAAGAAATTGACACAAATTACAGTGAAAATTTTTGTCTTGTAGAAAAAAATTCAACTATATAAGCTTTGCTTACAATTGTACACCACCGCAACTAGAAAATATAGAAAGTGGAGGTTTTCAATGCTTTTTTTGCATGGTCATCAAGATGATATATAGTTTATATGAATCAGCCCTCCAGATTTCAAGATGTCCATTCTCAAATGCATGTGTGAAAGCTAAGGAAAGCTATATATGTCCTAGAACAAGCCCATAGAGAGTGGTTTTTAACCTTCTCCAACTATCTCAAAGAGAATGGAACATGAAAATGTACAACAAATCCCTTTTTATTTCTCCATAAGGTTGAAGACAAGCATGCTTTCTTACTAATATATGTTAATTACATTCCAATCACTAGAATTGAAAACATATAT